CACCCAGGTCACATGGTTAGTCTGTTGGCTCTGCCCGTCCAGCTCTGAGTTTAGTTTCTTGCCCAGTGCCTCCCTGGCCCAAGGGAAAAAGCTACCGATTGAATATTCCAGTAGTCACTGGGGCTCCAGATAGCCTCTCCACCCAGGGTTGAGGGTGCCTAGGATCAGATTACTGCTTGAGCGCTGAACCCGTGCCATCTGTAAAGGAGGGTGCTCAGATCTGGATGCTGCTCTGATGCATGCACACCCCACCTCTGAGTCCATGTCTCTGAGGTCTGGCCCCAACTCCCAGCTGGTAAAGAAGCTTACCTCATGGTCAAGTGGACAGGCACAGGCTCCAAAGTCTCAGACCCTGTTCAAGTCCCACTGGCCCATGTCGTCCCCAGGGGAGCATGGGCAGCCCCCACCCAGCTGCTCACTGGTGAATGTGTCTTGAGGAAAAGGGGGAACTGTGGGCACACCCCAGGCACTCAGCAGGCTGCGCAGACCTTGGCTCCTTTGCCGTTTCCACAGGGCTTCCCCACACCCTTCAGAGCCACCACAGACCTTCAAGGAGGGATTGGCGTACAGTCGTGTGGTCAGGGAGCACCTGTGGGTGGTTCTTGCAAGTGAAGCCCGAGCCCCAGTGAGCTCTTCCCACCTTCCCAGAGGGGCCTCTGTACCCTCCTCTGCCGAGCTTCTCCCCCAGGGAGCTACTGCCTGAGGGGTGGTTGTTTCCGCCACCCAGATGGGGCCATCACAAGCATCTTCACATGAATTAGTGTTGCGGGCTTCAGCCCAGGCTGATGCCAAATTACATGTCAGTTGCTTTGAGGACAATCAGCTGCCTCCCCGGAAGGAACTAACAGAGCTCCACAGCTGTGTCTTATGCCAGACTCTGAACCTCATGTGTGTCTACGTCGGGTGTCTGTTCACTGCAGAGCTTGCTTCCCAGAGCCCATGTGCGTGAGTGCACGCACACACAAGCTCATCTCACTCTCATGTCTCTGGCTTTGCAAAATCCCTGCCACCCATCAGCCATGTGACCTTGAGTGAGGCACCAGACCTCTGAGTTCTGGTGTTGGTTCTGCAACATGGGAACATAGAGCCTGCCTGGAGAGGTCACATGGGGATGAAAGTAGATGCATGTGATAGAGTGTGGTGAGGCCTCTGCAGTCATCAGTGACATGAGATACTGTCCTGATGTGAGGGCCCTGCCATGTGCACCGGGTGTCTCAGATGTTCTCAGTGCACGGGCTCTGTGCCACACTCAGTAGCAGAGCTGGGCTCATGTGTCTCTTGCTGACCAGCCTGTGTCTTGTTTCCAGTTCAGGACCTCAAGGGTCTTGGCTATGAGAAGGGGAAGCCTGTGGGTCTGGTGGGTGTCACGGAGCTGTCAGACGCCCAGAAGAAGCAGCTGAAGGAGCAACAAGAGGTAAGGCTGTTGGGGGCAGGGCGGGCAGGTTCCACAGACGCTAGTGGAGTATTGTCGCCCACCCCGCCCCCTGGTGCAGTGGTCACAGTGTATTCTTTCTGAGCCTCCCTGTGCCGGGCAGATCCCAAGGTCAGGGGAGAGGCTCCTGGGTGAGCAGGTCTCCTGTCAACAGCATGCCACCCCCTGAGGGCCTTCCCCAGCCTGCAGTCAGGCCCAGAGGCCTTCTCACACTGCCTGGGCAGCCCCTGTGGCCACTGCTCCACAGCTGCTCCCCACCACACTCATGGGCTGGTCCAACTGGATAGTCTCCATTTAAGTTTTCCTTCCAGTTCCCTGCAGCATCCAGTATAGGACAGGCCTGGCCAGCACTGGGTGCCCTGAGCAATGTGATGTTGATGGTGGGCAGTGTTGGGGTGAGGGCCAGCTTGGCAGGGAGATCTGCAGCCAGGGGCTTGGCCTCTCTGCTGCTTCCCAGGGGAACTAGAGGTACTTACCTGTCAGTCCTTGGGGACAGCTCACCCGTCCACCTCCTCCAGGCCAGCAGCCCCATCACATCACCCTCAACCCTCCCAGGGGTCAGAAGCCTGCAACACCCTCATTCAGTCCACAGTTACAGTGCCCAGGATGTGCTAGGTTCCAGGCCAGGCCTCAGGCTCTGGTTGAGGCAGAAGTGGGTCCTCTCTGCTCAACACAGGGATTCAGGAACCCAGGGTGTGTCCTGACATGAGACTCTCTGCCTTCTTGCATACTTGGCTCCAAGCCCTGATCATGTGCCTGCCCCAGGGAGGGCAGAAGCGGGGAAGGGGGGACCCTGACATGCAGAGGGGAGGTAAAGGGGCCACCTCCTGCACGTGGTGCACGTCCTTGCTCACTGGCATTGTGTGCCACCCACAGATGCAGCAGATGTATGACATGATCATGCAGCACAAGCGTGCGATGCAGGACATGCAGCTGCTGTGGGAGAAGGCACTGCAGCAGCACCAGCATGGCTACGACAGTGATGAGGAGGTGGACAGTGAGCTGGGCACCTGGGAGCATCAGCTGCGGCGCATGGAGATGGACAAGACTCGGGGTGGGCCAAGGCGCAAGTCACGGGAACGGGGGTGCCTTGGGTCTTGCCCTCAGGGTGCTGTGGGCTCAGGAAGCCCCACTCTTCTGCCCAGGAAAGCGCCTGGAGGCACTGCGCTGGGGTCTTAAGCCACCTTCCCAGCCTGTAAGACCTTGAGCAAGAGGCAAGAGACAGCCTCTCTGTGCTTCAGTTTCCTCAGTGGTAAAAGGAGTGGTCCTCTGAGTGTTCACTGGTGTTTGAACATGGTGCTCAGCAGGGCTACTTGGGGACAGGGGCTCAAGTTGGAGTCTCAACCAGCTGCCTCATTCCCCTGTGGCCCCAGACTCCCCCCAAGACTCATACCTGTCCTGTGGGGCCACCTGGCCTGCTCCCTGCACTCCTCCTTCCTCCTCTCACCTTTCCTGCTTCTCTGGGCAGAGTGGGCCGAGCAGTTGACGAAGATGGGCCGGGGCAAGCACTTCATTGGAGACTTTCTGCCACCAGACGAGCTGGAGAAGTTCATGGAGACCTTCAAGGCCCTGAAGGTGAGCTAAGAGGGCCCCCAAGCACCACCCCCTGCTGTGGGCCCGTCCAGCAGGCAGCCTGTACAGTGTCCCCTCCTGCGGCAGGCACCTGCAATGGCCTCGGACCCCCTCTTGCTCACAGGAGGAGGTGGGCCCTCCTGCTGCAGAAGGCATCTGTTTATGACAGACGCCATCTGTGTAGGGAATTAGCAAATAGCAGCTCAGCTGCCACTTTAGAAACATTTCCTGGGACTTCAGGGAAATTCTGCTTCCAGTGGAGCCAATTAAGTGCAGTTTACAGGCAAAGCGTTTCTCAGGCAGAAGCCCCTGCAGACTGGGCTCTCCAGAATGAGAGCTTACATCCCTCCCGTGCTGCCATCAGACTCGTGAGGACTGACAGCTGACGTGGCACATCCCACATCGTCTTTTGGGGTTTTTTTGTAAAACTGCTTTGTACCACATAACCTCATCATCAACAAGCCAGTCATCTTGTTGACCACACCTTCTTTTTCACACTCTGTAACAAATCGCTCTCAGAACGTAGGGCTTTTCTTTACTGATGAACCATTAATCTTTTTCATGGTGGACAAGGCCTGTGTGACCTGTCACCTTGCCCTCTTTGATTTGGCCACCACAGAGCTCAGCACTAGATCTGGCCCTGGGAGCCCTGAGAAGGAGGAGCTTGGTCTTTTCTCAAGGAGTCTCACTGTTTGGGGGGAAGCAGATGGACAAGTGGTCCTAGCGGCCAGTGAGGCCATAGGTGGAGGGGGTTTCAGGCACCAGCTGAGACTGGGGATGGCTGCAGCCCTGATGGATGACGGCTGCCTCCTTGCCCTGCAGGAGGGCCGTGAGCCTGACTACTCAGAGTACAAGGAGTTCAAGCTGACGGTGGAGAACATCGGCTACCAGATGCTGATGAAGATGGGCTGGAAGGAGGGTGACGGGCTGGGCTCAGAGGGCCAGGGCATCAAGAACCCGGTCAACAAGTGAGTGCAGCTCTGATGCTGGGGGTGGGGTCAGGGGAGTCCCACTTGGAGACACAGGCCCAGGGCTCGGGTCCAGTCCTGCTGGGTAGGAGTCAGGGGTGTGAACTCTGGTGGCTGGGCCACTTCGGGCTCTCCCATCCTCCCACAGTGCCAGGTGTGTCCCATGTAAGTGCCACCCAGCCTGGCACAGCCCCCACATTGAGCTGTGTTGGGGCATTGCCACTGAGCCCAGGGCCTGCACCCCCCTCCAGCTAGCACCAGCCTGGCCCCCCTGGTTACACTGTACTGTCGCCTCCCTGCAGGGGCACCACCACGGTGGACGGTGCCGGCTTCGGCATTGACCGGCCAGCCGAGCTCTCTAAGGAGGATGACGAGTACGAGGCCTTCCGCAAGAGGATGATGCTGGCCTACCGCTTCCGGCCCAACCCCCTGGTGCGTGTCCCCATCCCCCCACACCACGTCTGGCTGGGCCACATGGTTCTTCATAGTTATCTTAGTGGGTAGCGGTGCTGGTAACAGAAGGGTCCCTCCTTCCCTGGGCCAGCTAGGCCAGGTCTCACCAGCACCCCTCCACTTTTCCGCCTGCGTTAGAGCCTCCACACCTTCCCAGAGCCTGCCCTCTCATCTCAGCTCAGCTGCCCCTGCAAGGTTCTGGACAGGAAGAACTTCTTTGTCTTTAGCATTATTAACCTATTCCCCTTTTTTATCTCTTTTTCCTCCTAAAGAACAATCCTAGACGGCCTTACTACTGAGTGTTCTGGAGAAACTGCACAAATGTACTTTCCAAACGACTGACCGTCCTTGAACTGTGGATTGTTCCAGCCTGCATTTCTGCCTGTCCTTCCCGTTGTCTTGAGTGTTGTGCCGTGTATTAAAAGCCCCAGTGCTTGCCCGCCATGGCAGCCTGGTCCTGCCATTGCCAGAAGCCCCTCCTGTTCCTTAGCAGCAGGGCCAGGCTGGGCAGATGAGGACGGGCTGCTGCTGTGAAGGCGCCCCAGCACCCTGGGAATCCTGGAGAACCACCTGGCCTGGCCCCTTGTCTGCCTGTGGGTTCCCCCGTTGGCCTGGGTTGCAGTTGGGGGCTAGACCCACGAAGCTTCCTCTGCAAGGGGTGGGGTGGCAGGCCTGCCAGCTCAAATCTGGCTGCAGCTGGGCCCAGAGCATCAGGCACCTCCCAGCCTAGCACTGCATTGCAGGAGGTTGGGGAGGGGTCTTGGAGCAGGGCACTCCTGTGCTCCTTGCCTCACCGGCAGGTGGCACTGACAAGGCCCCACACACAGCAAGCCCTGCTGGTGATGGCTGCAGCCCAGGCTGCCCCAACTGCCCTGGGTCCCGCCAGTGTCGGGGACACAGGAGTCCCTGGGGCTTGTGCCTTTGGAGGATAGCTTCATGGACAGATATACCATGCTAAGACATCACTTGTTTCCTGGAGGAGGGGAGGTGGGTGGGTGGCCCAGACCAAGGTATGTATCAAGAGCTCCCCACGGCTCCAGTCGGTGCCTCATGTTTGTGCAGAAGCCACCTGGGGATCTTGTTCAGCTGCAGCTGCTGAGTGAGCAGCATAGGCGGGTCTCAGGAACCTGCAAGCCATGCTTGCAGTATCAAGGCCCAAGGGGCCCCCACAACTCACTCACCTGCCCCACACACGTATCCAGTGGGTCCTGCTCAACTCCTGTAGGATCATGGGCTCTGAGGACACAAGCTGGGATCAGGCTCTTGGGCCCGCTTGCATTGACACAGTCATTCAGCAAATACTGAACACCAACTGTGTGAACCAGATGGACAAGATGTGCTCCTGGGCAGCCACAGTCTGCTGGGGACGTGGCAGTGAACCCCTAACATAGTCTGAATTGATAAATGCTATAAAGAGGAACCAGGAGCTCTGGTGGAGGCAGCCTGAGGAGTGTCCCAAAGCGGGGAGTCCAGGGACTGGGAGTCTCAGCAGCAGAGCCCAGGCTGGGGTGACACATGCTACCCTCTCTCCCCAGCGTGGCTGCTGTGCCCAGCACAGGGTAAAGGGGTAACACAAGCCTGTGTGTGGAGGCTGCACAGGGGGCCTGGGTCCCAAGCACAAGGGTGTAGCTCTGGGCAGCCAGAGGTTCCAATGATGGGGACCCTAGGCTTCAGTCCCAGGCATCCTGCCATCTAGGTCAAGGTCACCATTCCATTGAATTATCAGTGTCCGGGAGGCTTGCCAGGCTCAGCCCATGGACTTTGACCTCCAGCCATGGGGAAAGTTGGAAAAGGAGGCCTCCAAATTGTGTGTGTGTGTACCAGCGCCTCCCAGACACAGAGTGTGAGGCCAGGCCCCTAGACAGGGCTGGACCAGACACCCCTGGCCCTGCAGGGGGAGAAGTGAGGCTGGGGTGGTAAGGAGGGCTGCCTGGAAGAGGGGATGTTGGGATCTGCCTTAAGGGGTGAGAAAATATGAGAGGGTCCATCTGGCAGACAGGAGAGAGGCTTGTGGGGTGTTGGCACCGCTAGAGTTGGGAAAGGTCAAGAAATGAGACTGGAGCCTCAGGTCAGCCCAGAGGAACCTGAACTTCACCCCACGGGCAACGCTCACCTGGGGAGGGAGGCTGTCAGGCAGGTGGCCAGAAGACCATCTTGTCACTGAGGCTTACAGGTGGGACCCAGCTGACAAAAGGCTAAGGGGCTGCATGGAGAAAGGGCCCTGGTTGGAGGTGGTGGTGAGGGTTAGAATCTTCCTGACCCCAGACTGTGGGTGCCCCGGGGCAGGAATCAGGTGGGGACCGCTCACCCTGTTTCCAGCAGCCACAAGTATCAGAGTCCAAGGCTGGTCGGAGGGCGTGACAAAGACATTGGGCCACCTTTCCCCACCCTACAGCCCTCTCCCTGGTCCAGCTCCCCTGCCCCCTTTGCATCTCCCCCTCCTCTAAGCTGTTCAGAACCCTCCCAAGTCCCCACCACACCCCAACCCCAGGCTCCTCCTTTCTGCTGCTTCAGCCACAAGCCTGAGCTCCTCCCTGCCAGGAACACTGTTCCCAAATTCCTCACCAAGGTGGCTCCATCCCCACCTAATCTCAGCCTGCCTCTTGAGCCCCCTCCCTCCACCCGCTAAGTGAGCCCAGCCTCAGCTGCCCACAAGGTGTGGAGGCTACATGGAAGGAACACAGCACAGAATCACTGCCTCTAAGGGACCCTCAACCCAGGACTATGGCTACCTGCCTTGAGATGGCCCCAGAACCAGTCAAAGCTTCACACGCAGACACGTGTTTCAGTTTGGGGCCAGGCATGAAATCTCAAATCCAAGGGCACTGAAGAGGACTTGCACCCAACTAGGTCAGGTTCCTCCATCAGCGCACACGGATAATGACCACTTGATCCTGGGGGGAAGAGGTGTGGGGAGTTAAAAAGGGTCCCCTTCGGGGTCAAGGTTGGGACGCTGGCGCCTTAGGATGAAGAAAGCAGAAGTGCAAAACGAGGCCTGGAGAACGAATTCCCTTAGAATGAGGTTGCTGGCCCGGGGTCTCTAGGACGCAGCCCCGGGCCTCAGAGCAGAAGCATCCCGAGGCGTCGTCTTCTAGCCTTCAATAAGAGGGAAACTGAGCCTGGGCCGCAGAAACGGCCAGGCCAGTGTGGACCGCGCTGAGCCGGACGAGGGTGTAGAGGGGGAGGGGCCTCGGAGGCTCCGCGGGAGCGCTCAGGGAGGTCACGGCTGCGGCGACCGGACCAGGGCGCAGCGGGGGGCGACCTTTGCGCGGGGCGGGGCCGGGCCAGGCTGGGTCCCTGGCAACCCCCCCGCCTAGAGCGCCGCCGCGGAGTTGCTGAGAGCCCTAGAGGCCGCGCCGACGCTGAGCCGTGGTCCGGGCTCCGCCACCATGGACATCCCGCCGCTGGCCGGCAAGATTGCGGCTCTGTCGCTCGGCGCCCTCCCGGTGTCCTACGCGCTCAACCACGTCTCGGCGCTCTCGCAGTGCGTGCCGGGAGGGCGAGGGCGGCCTCCTGGGGGGCGGCGGGGCCGGGCCGTGGGGGCGGGGAGGGAGGATGCGCGGGCGGCGGGCCTGGCTCTCTCGAACCCTGCGACCCCGCGCGCCTCTGGCCCCAGAAGGTGGAGGCTGAGCTAGAGGAAACCCCCTCACCCGGAAGTCCCCTTCCCGCGGGCCAGGATGCTGTGTGGTGGGAGTGAGGGCGCTCGTGGCACGTTTGAGGCCTGGGGAGAAGGGAAGTTGAGAAGCAGAGCCCCCCACAGGGCAGGGTTTGGAGGGTTTCTGGGGTTTTCCCAGGGATGTGCCCAGCACCGGCTCCAAAGTCGCCAAGGGTCAAAGTATTGCCCCAGACAAGGTTCCAGTGACCTGGCTCTTGCCACACATATGCTCTGCTCCACCGCCCCTTCCAGACGGTCCCTCCATTACCTGTCTCAGGTCTGAGACTTTCTTCATTTAAGGGCTGGCACAGCCTGTCCCAGCCTCAGTTTCCCCTATATTCTGCCACCTCCCCTGTCCCTGACTCCTAACCCGAAACCCCAGCCCTGTGGATCCAGCCAGTGTGTACCAGGCATCTGCAAGCTCCTCACACTTCCAAACCCAGCTCAATCTAAGACATGGAGTAGAGGGAGTCTTGACTGTGGGGTTGGCTCCTTAGGGACAAATTCCTGGCTCTGTCCCTGTGGGCCCTGGGTGAGCCAGGTTGCCTCTGGGAGCCTCAGTTTCTTGATTGTGTAATGAACATAGTCCTAGATCTCATCCCATAGTTATGGTTAAGGATTACGACTTGTGTGCAGAGACTCTGGTGCAGTCTCATCTGGTTATTATAATTGTCATTGTTGGTCAGAGGGGGCAGGATGGGGATCCTGGGGATCAGAGGGGTTCACAAGGTAGGAGCCTGGAGAGAGTGTAGGTGAGAGTGTGTGACCCTGGATAGGTCTCCTGCCCTCTCTGGGCCTTGGTTCACCCACCTGTTGGGGGCTGCCCAGAGACCTGGCTTCTATTATCTGTACAACTGGGTGACCTGCCTTATCAGGTTGGTGAGGACAGATCAGGGCAGAGGTGGGGTGGAGTTGATGGAGGCATTTGGACTTTAGCCCAGAGGAGTCGGGAGCTTCAGATAGTGAGGTGTACAGAGCCAAGCACTGGAGACCCTCTGGCAGGCGTGAGAGCTGGATCTGGCCACAGAGGGGATCCACGTTGTTGAACCACTGACTGAGCAAATTGAGTCAAACATATTCCAGCAAATGATAGGATAAATCATACACTCAGAAGGTGTTGACAGATGCCCCCTTTGTACCTGGCCCAAGTCAGGCAATGATTCTTTTTGAGGAGTCAGGGAGGGCTTCCTGGAGGAGGAGCCATGAAAGACGGCTCTTGAAGGATGAGTAGGAGTTTACCAAATGGTAAAGAGACTTCTGGAAGGAGTTTTCAGGAGAGGGAAACAGCTGGGGCAAGAGCCTGGTGATGGGAAAGGGCAGTTTCAGGGAATGGCATTCCTGGACAGACAGACACTTCAGCCTTGACACCTGGAGCTTCCCAGAGGCTGCTCTTGCCCTCACCAGGGTGGAGTGGGGCCTTAGCACTGGGCCCGGCGTCCCTGACTTGGTTTTCTCCTCCACAGCCCCCTGGGGGTGGTGTTGATGAGCGCCCTGATCCTGGGTCTGCTATTTGTGGCTATCTACAGCCTGTCCCGCGGTGAGATCTACTACGACCCGCTTTATGCTGGTGAGTCAGTGGGAGGGTCCTATGGAAGAGAACCGTGTGAGCAAGGGCCTCCTCCATCAGACTGAGGGCCCTTGAAGGGGCTCCCATCAGACTGGAGAACCTCAGAGACATTGGAGAACCCGCATTGACTGGGGAACCTCAGAGGGCCTCCCCTTTCAGACTTTGTGGCTCCTGAGAGCCGGAACTGTGTCTTCCCATCAGACCAGAAGCCCCTGAAGACCGTGCCTCCCCATCACTCTGGAATCTCCTTGACGGCAGGGACAGTGCCTCTCCCAACCTGGGAACCCCCAAAGGCAGGGACTGTGCCTCCCCATGAGGCTGGGCTGTGGGTCATGTGACCTACGGAGTGGGGACTGGGAGCAGTTGGGCGCAGTCTTTGCTTGGAATCTGGGTCCTTGAGCGCAGCCTCAGGCCCCGCCCAACCCGGGCCGTGCCACGCCCACTCTCCCCATAGTATTCGCTGTCTTCGCCTTCACCTCGGTGGTAGACCTCCTTATCGCTCTCCAGGAAGATGGCTATGCGGTGGGCTTCATGGAGTTCTACACCAAGGAGGTACGTAGCGGGCGGCCTGGGATTCCCCCTGCCCCGCTGCCAGTCTGAGCCCTGGGCCTGCCCTCGCAGGGCGATCCGTACCTGCGGACCGCGCATGGAGTCTTCATCTGCTATTGGGACGGCACTGTTCACTACCTCCTCTACCTGGCCATGGCCGGCGCCATCCGCAGAAGGTGTGCGGGGTGGGTGGGCTCGCGCCTAGACCCTGGGAAGGAGGTGAATTCCTCAGGTGGGGTCCAGGCCAGGGTGGAGGCAGAAGTGTCTGTAGGGGAAATCAGGAGGGCTCTCCAGGGCTCTAGCCAGGGGTGGCAGGAGAAGGGTGTGGGGAATGTTGCAGGTGTAAGTGACGGTCAGCTCTCTTCTCTTGTACCACCTGGTGCCTGGGCAGACACTTCTGTCCTTGGATAGAGGATGTGACTGTTCCTTCCCTCATTCAACTACCTGTTGTCCCTTCTGTCCTGGGCAAATCTTGGAGGGACCCAGAGCTGAGGAGCCCAGGGTGGTCCCTGAGCCCTGGCTGGGGCTCTGAGATCAGGGGACGGGTGTCTACTGGTCACCTCTCCATCCATCACCCAGGAAGAGGTACCGGAACCTTGGACTCTACTGGTTGGGATCCTTCGTCATGAGCGTCCTGGTGTTCCTCCCAGGAAACATCCTTGGTAAAGACTCAGCTTTGAGGAATCCCATCCCCGCAGACTGGGTCACTGCTCTGCACCTGGAGGTCCCCACTGGGTCCTCCATCCCCTCCCCAGTGCCTGTAGAGGGCCTCCCCCCCATGCCTGTCTATGCACAACCTCAGCCAGCAGCCTGCCCCCGCCTTCCCCATTTCCTCTTGGGTGGAAGCGTGTCCCCCCTTCCTCCCTAGGCTGCAGGGCTCCTAACCCCAGAGATTTAGCCCAGAATGCTCTTGACACAGGAAGGGGGTTTTAAGGCAGATCCATGGGGCAGAGTGAAAGCTTCACTGGAAGGTCTGGGGAAGTCAGGCAGAGAAGGCAGCCCAGGATGTGGGGATGACTGAACAGGAGGAACCCCAAGGTATATCCAGGGGGAACAAAGAACAGCTGAAGTGTACCCATATCTGGAAGGTAAACTGAGGCAGGCCAGGCTGAGGAGCATGGACATCATCTTATGGGCAATGGGGCGTCAGAGATGTTAGAGCATCTGCAAGGATGGCATTTAAGAATCAAGACTTACAGCTAACAGGTCTGGCCAGGCCTGGGAGATCCTCGCTGAGTGACACGCCCTCTCTCCTACCATGACAGGCAAATACAGCTCAGAGATTAGGCCCGCCTTCTTCCTTGCCATCCCCTATGTGCTGGTCCCATGCTGGGCTGGTGTGAGGGTCTTCAGCCAGTCCCAGGCACCAACCTGCTGCACCCCCAATGTGGTGAGTGCCTTGCCCCTAGCAGGCCTCATGCCAACATGCCAGAATGTCCCCCATTTGAGTTGTCTCTGGTCAAAAACATTGTCTCTTGGGAATGATCTCCTTGGTCATTAGGAAAGAAGGGATGGGCCTTTATTGAGTGCCTGTTGGATACCAGACTTCTCATGCTGGTGCTTCCCCATGTGCAGGTGCAGGAGGAACAAAGAAAGGGCCTCCTACAGCGCCCAGTTGACCTGGCCCTCATCATCTACCTCACTCTTGCTGGGTTCTTTACCCTCTTCCGGGGCCTGGTGAGTCTGTGCTGGCCAGCCTACACTTCGCCCACCTCCAGCCCTGCTCCCCAGCCCACCCCTCCCACACATGTTCCTTTACCAAGTGAAAAAAGGCCACTGCTGTCCTGTCTGATCATCCACAGAAGTTCTTCATCGAGTCTCACCTGAGTCTTCCATGCAAAACTCCATTCCCTGTAGCCTTCTTCCCATGTCCCCCTTTCCTCCCTAGGCTGCTAGGCTCCTGACCCCAGGGATTTGGCCCAGAATGCTCTTGACACAGGAAGGGGGTTTTAAGGCGGATCCATGAGGCAGAGTGAAAGCTTCATAGGAAGGTCTTGGGAGGTCGAGCAGAGAAGGCAGCCCAGGATGTGGGGATGGCTGAGCAGGAGGAACCCCAAAGTGTATCCAGGGGGAGCAAAGATATCTGTGATTTCCCAGCCAGAGGGAGAGAACCAGGGTTGGGGGGGGGCCGGAGCAAGGGGTGGGAGGGTGGAGACTTCTTGTAGGAGGGATGTTTGAGGTGAGGTCTGTCAGTTGTTGGTTCATCTGTCTACCCCAGGTGGTTCTTGACTGCCCCACAGATGCCTGCTTTGTCTACATTTATCAGTATGAGCCATACCTGCGGGACCCTGTGGCCTATCCAAAGGTGCAGGTGAGAGGGCGGGTGGGAGGAGAGGGTCACAGTCCTGCCACAGGTGGGGATCCACTGGGCCTCTTTGAAGCAGGTGCCAGAAACACAAGTCAGACTGGCAGAAACACAAATGGAATTTATTGTTCTACCTAAAAAGCACAGATATGACCTTCAGGTATGGCTGGATCCAGGAGATCAAAGATAGCTCTGTCTCTGGGCTCTGCTTTCTTTGTATGGGCTCCACTCCCAGGTAGTCCCTTTGTGGGATGGCAGAGGCAGCCTTGAGCAGCTCCAAGCCTCCGTCTACCCTACTTAGCCACCACAGAGCAATATGAGCCCTTATTTCCCTAGAGCTTAAGCACAAGTCTCAGGCAGGCTCTCATTGGCCCACTTTGAATCACATGCCCATTATCATCTGACCATTGAGCTGATGATTATGGCCAGGGGGCTGGGGTGTTCTGATTGGCCAGGAAAGGGTCACATGCCACTTCAGGAGTAAGGTGAGTGGGCTCAGTGTATGTATGTGTATGTGGGAGGATACCCAAGGGAAAGAGAGGAACAATTTGCACAGGGTTGGGATGTGCAGAGAGCCTCCATCCTGGGTGGGGTATGAGGTTGGCCAGATCCTTCCTGAGGCCCCCGTTTCAGGGGTCTCTGGAAACCTGGCTGGGACAGCTGCTCACTCATTGGCTCTGTGCCCACCAGATGCTAGTGAACATGTTCTACGTGCTGCCTTTCCATGGCCTGGCTGCCTATGCCCTCATCTTTCCCGGCTGCTCCTGGCTGCCTGACTGGGCTTTAGTGTTTGCTGGAGCCATTGGCCAGGTGAGGTGGGGCGGGGGTGGGGTGGGCAGGTGCTTAGGGAAGAAAGTTTCTACCTGCCCATCAGTTGCTTTTGTGCTCACCCCCTAGGCAAGGTGATGCTGGGCCCCTCAGAGGCCCCAGCCACAGCTCAGTATCCCAGGATTCTCTAATCTGAGAGAGAAAGTGCTAGACACAGACACCTCCAACCTCTTGGGATCAGAACTGGAGAGAGAAAGGGATAGGGGCTGAGAGGAATTCCAGAGGGAGAAGGTTTCCCAGAAGAGGTGGGCTTTGACGTATGGGTATGAGTTCTCCCAGCAGGGAAGGGCATTCCAGGAATGGGAACAGCATGAGGAAAGGCACAGACAGGGACAATGACTTAGCAGAACTGTAATATGGCTAAAGGCAGAGGCAAGAGAAATTGGTAGCTAGATGCTGAGGGCTTTGAACTCTGAGCTTGGGAGCTTGTGCTGAGAATGATGGGGAGCTGTGGGAAGTGTTTGAGCAGTGGAGGGCCCCATCAGAGCTGGGGTCCTGTTTCTGGATTCCTGATGGGAAGTGATAAAGCCTGGGCCCAGGCCAGTACAGTGGGGACCTGGAGGACATCTATGAGGTAGACTCCACAGGTTTTTGTGTCACGGGCATCTACCTGGGGCGGGGAAGAGCAGGAGGAGGAGGTGGACCCAGGTCAGAGAGATTGGGTACAGGGCCCAGCAGACGGATTGAAGATGGTCCTTGTCAGGCAGCTGGGGAGAGGCTCACAGACAGATGGACAAAGACAGGACATGTGGGGACAAGGATATTTAGAGACAGACAGATGAACTGGAGAGGGGAGACAGGTCAGCAGAGCCAGCGAAACAAAGACAGGGACGCTCAGGGCTCCCCGGGGTGGCATGTCAGTGATGCTAGGACTTGTTCTCTTCTGGCTCCTGACACCCATCCTCCCTGTATGGCCACTAGGCACAGTTCTCGCACATGGGTGCCTCCATGCACCTGCGCACGCCCTTCACCTACCGTGTACCTGATGACACCTGGGCCTGCTTCTTCGTGTGCAACCTGCTGTATGCGCTGGGCCCCCACCTGCTGGCCTATCGCTGCCTGCGGTGGCCTGCCTTCTTCCTGCGCCCACCCCCCGGCCCCCCAGCCCACCATAAGAAGCAGCACTGAGGGGGCCGTGGGACTCCCCAGGACTCCGTGTACATGCTTAGCAGGCCCTGCCCCAGGAAGGGTGGGTTGGGTTTTTTAGAGGCAGGAGGTATGTCTCTGGGTGTCTTTGGTCCTGGCTATGGTGGTTTCAGGCCTGTGGGTGGGATGGGAGACCCAAGCACAGAGGGCCACAGCCACGCTGAACTGTCAGGGTACACCAATCCCACATGGATTCTTCTACTCTTTCCCAGAATTTACCCATCATCCCCCGCCATGGATGCTTTTAGTAAAAACCCTCTTGATGCCCAAAATATTGCTGCCTGAGAGTTTCAGGATGTAGGGACGAGGGACCTGCTTCTCTGACCCCATGAGGGCCTACCTATCACTGCCAGCGTGCCCAACAGGAGCTGGAGGTGCTGGACAGCAGAAGTCTGCCTTTGGTTGGTGTGCACGGCTCCATCTCCCAGATGGGGAAAACTGAGGCTCAGAGAGGACCAGAGACCTGCCTGAGGTCACTTTGAAATCCAAGCTCTGTCAATAAATTATAATAACTAATAGTGTGGCACAGTTATTAACCACCCACTGCATACCATGCCAGGGGCTAACCTTGGGTGCTGCACGCTGGATCTCAACCCGTATTCCAGATGGGAAAACTGAGCTGCAGGAGTTGAAGGTCCTGGCTGAGCTAGGGACCAAGTCTCAGCCCAGCTAGTTCTACCACAGAGCCCAGAACCTTGCCTCTGCTGTCTAGTTGGCTCATATTTTGGAAAAACTGAGGGTGAAGGGGCAGCCAGAGGGTCAGGGGAAGGGCTCATTGTTTCCTGATTCCATTTTTGAACTTGAGCGAAGGGCCAGGCTCAGGGGTGACTGGGTCGCAGAGTGGGTCAAGGGCTTGATCAGACTCCCCTGCTCCCCACCTCTAGTAACACTCTAGCAACGCTTATTAGGCACCTATTGTAGTCTGGCCATTGGATCTTTTTTTTTTTTAAAGATTGGCACCTGAGCTAACATCTGTTGCCAATCTTCTTTTTTTTTTTTTCTTTTTCTCCCCAAAGCCCCCAGTACATAGTTGTATATTCTTTTTTACTGCTGAGGAAGACTAGCCCTGAGCTAACATCTGTGCCATACTTCCTCCACTTTATATGTGGTGCGCTGCTACAGCATGGCTGACAAGTCGTGTAGGTCTGCACCCGGGATCTGAACCCGGAGACCCCGGCCGCCTAAGTGGAATGTGCTGAACTTAACCACTGTGCCATGGGGCTGGCCCCACATAGTTGTATATTCTAGTTGTAGGTCCTTCTGGTTGTGCTATGTGGGATGCCGCCTCAGCATGGCCTGACGAGGCCATGTCCACTCCCGGGATCCAAACCCGGGAAACCCTGGGCCGCTGAACCAGAGCACGCAAACTTAACCACTTGGCCACGGGGCCGACCCCATGGCCATTGGATCTTCACCAAAGAACCAGCAGTCCATAGCCCAGAAGTGGAAACTGAGGCTTAGAGAGACCAAGCATCTCTTCCAACTGCCCACAGCCAGTGAGGGGCAGAGTCCGATTTGGCCCTGTTGCTGTGTGTCCCCTCTGCAGAGTGTGTGACTGTTGTGGGGCCCCCATCCTGCAGCGTGAGCACCTTTTGGGTGCCAGAGCCCAGGACCCCGCGTTGTCACCCAGTGACAAACAGGAAAACAGATCTGCAGGCCAAGCTCCTTTCCCAGGTTATTCAGCCCCCTGCCTACGCCGGGCGTCCAAGTTGGAAGACTCCATCAGGCCCCCTCCTCCATTTTAAAGACGGTTAAACCGAGGCCCAGAGAGTACCTCCGCGGGCCCAAGTCCAGCCAGCAGGGACCTGGTTCTGCACTCACTGTCGAGCGAGGTCCTTTGTCCGCCGCCCGCACCCAGGTTTCCTTTCCGTGTAGCGCTTGCCGCCGCTTTCCCTTTAACGGCCCCCCCCCCCCCGCCGCTTCCCTCCTCCCCTTGCAGGCAGACGCCGGGATTGCGCCGCCCGCAGGGACCTGCCCAGTCCTTCCTTGGGTGTGCGGGGGAGCGCAGTCTCGGCGCGAAGGGGCCGCTCGGTGGGGGCCGCACCCGCAAGATGGTGAGTGCGGCGGCGGGCGCGGGTCCCTATAGGTCCGTCTCTGGGATTCTGTCTCTCTGTGTCTCTGAATCCAGGTCCCTTGGTGTTTCTCTCCTCAGTCTCTCTCCCCGTCTCGATCTTTCCCATCCCTTCTCATCCTCTTATACCTCTTTCTCGAACTCTCTGCCTCTCCTCCCTCTCCGTCTCTCCCGACTTCTCTCTCCCTTTTTTTTTTTTCCTGGTTCCTTTTCTCTCCCTTTCTCTGAGTCTCTCTGTCTCTCCCTACTCCCGTGTTTCCTTCTCTGTGTCTCTTTCCCTCTTGCTCTCTCTCTCCCTTCCAGGCTCTGTCCTTCTGCATCTCTGTCCCCCTCTGCATCTCTTTCGCTCCGTCTTTCCTTCCTCTTCTTTCCATCTGGTTCTCTCTGTTCTGTCTCTCCCTGCTGTCTCCATCTCTCCCTGCCTTTCTCTTTTTCCCTGTTCTCGCCCTCTATCTCTCCCTCCCCCTGTCTCTCCCATTCCCTCGCCCCCCCCCCCCCCCCCACCCCGCCCCCGCTCGGTTTGCTGCAGTCTCCTGGCGCACGGATAACCTTGCCGCTGTCGCTGCTCCAGCTCCTCCCCAGCGCCCCCAGTCCCGGGTCTGGGCCGGAGAAAGAAGGGGCGGGACTCCAAGCCTTCAACGTTGGGGTTAGGGGGTCAGGCGGGTTGCCCGCGCAGGACTAAGGGAGGGTGAGTCTGAGGCGTGGGCTTTGCGCAGGAGCGAGGGTGAGAGATCCTGGGAGGGTTGAGGGTGGGCCTGCCAGCCTTCTCCTTGGGGGAGTCCTCTGGGGTCCTGGCCCGGCTGGGAGCCTCGGCAGGTGAGAAGTCCTCGCCGCGGGGAAGGAAGGCCAGGGGGCTGGTCCTCTGACAGGCAAAGGCCAGGAGGCTGGACTGAGCCCCCCGCTGCCCCCAGGTGTGTGCTCGGGCGGCCCTCGGTCCCGGCGCGCTCTGGGCCGCGGCCTGGGGAGTCCTGCTGCTCACGGCCCCCGCGGGGGCGCAGCGCGGCCGGAAGAAGGTCGTGCATGTGCTTGGTGAGTCAGGGACGCTGAAGCGGGTCTTGCCCCGCAGGAGCCGTGGCCAAGTGTGATCGCCTGGGTGCATGGAGGGGGGAGGGCGCTGGGCGTTCCTCACGGCCACAGTCCCCCACAGCTCCTCCCCCTCTGAGTCCCCTGCCCCTCCCCAGTTCCCTCCCTAAACTCCTTTATCCAGCTGATTTCCTGACCCCCACCCGAGTCTTCTTCCTACATCCCCTCCTCAGGGTCCCCCTCCCTAGGGTCCCCAGCCCCACCCCCGGGACCTCTTCTGAACCCTATTTGGTCGCCCGCAGAGGGCGAGTCGGGCTCGGTGGTGGTGCAGACAGCGCCGGGGCAGGTGGTCAGCCATCGAGGTGGCACCATCGTCTTGCCATGCCGTTACCACTACGAGGCAGCGGCCCACGGCCACGACGGTGTCCGCCTCAAGTGGACCAAGGTGGTGGACCCACTGGCCTTTGCTGATGTCTTCGTGGCACTGGGCCCCCAGCACCGGGCGTTTGGCAGCTACCGCGGGCGGGCAGAGCTGCAGGGCGACGGGCCCGGGGACGCCTCTCTGGTTCTCCGAAACGTCACACTGCAGGATTATGGGCGCTATGAGTGCGAGGTCACCAATGAGCTGGAGGATGACACTGGTATGGTCAAGCTCGACCTGGAAGGTAACCAGCTCGTGAGCAGGATGCCACGCGTTTCTAAGGGAGGAGAGAGGGAGAGTATTGCACGGGACAGAAACCAAATCAAGTTGGCCTGAAGGAATTTAGAGGATGTGGGGGGGGAGGCAGGTGTAGGGTAATGGTTCTGATGTGGGGTGATTTTGCTCGCCAGGGACATTGGCATCGTCTAGAAGGAGGTTGCTGGTGGCATCTAGTGGGTAGAGGCCAGGGATGCTGCAAAACATCCTACAACACACAGCAAAGAATGTTGTCCCCAACAGCAAAGAATGATCCAGTCCAAAATGTCAGTAGTGAGGACGTTGGAAAATCCAGGGGTAGGTGGGATCCAGGCACTCACTCTATGTCAGGAATCCCTCCCTCAGCTCTGCTACCCTGGATGCGCTTTCCTCCGGCAGCTTTCCCCTGAAGGAACAGAAAAGTAGGGCCAGGCTTCCATCCTCCCAGCTTAGCAACTGATTTCCTAGTGCTAGCCAGAGTCCCAGAGTTGTCCCTCATAGGCCCAGCTTGAGTCACATGCCCACCCACGAGCCAATCACTGTGGCTAGGAGATGGGATGCTCTGATTGGCTGACCGTGGAGCTGGGAGGTGGGCTTTCTATGAAGAATTCTCTCCCACTTAGTTTGCTTCCTCAGTCCACCTTAGAAGATGCTAGGAAAGATTTCAGAGTCCTCACTTGCTGAACTTCCAAACAATAGCAAATAGCAACAATAGCAGCAGCAGCAGCTCTCCTTTATTGGGCGTTTTCTATGTGCCGGTGCTTGAAGAGCTCTCTGCAGTCTCTCATTTAATTTTCCCAAAAACCCTGAAAGAGACACTATTACGAGCAGATGAGCAACTGGCTCAGAGAGGTGACAGCCTTACTCAGGGCACATGCTAGTGAGTGGCAGAGCCAGGACTCAAACTCTTATCTGTCAGGCTCCAGGTCTTCTCTCTGGCCCTCTTCGGCTCCTTCCTTCATCTGCTGAGAGTACCCAACTCACCCCCAAGGTCTGCCCTTCCAGCACAGATACACAGAACCCTTGTGAGCAGAGTTGACTGTGAGTCCGATGAGGGACAATTTGTAAGAACTGAAGGTGGAAGGGAAACCAATTGTTCTGGACAATGCTGAGGATCAAAGGGATCCTTCCCCAGGGTCAACATTTCAGGGGCTTCCAGTGTTGGGGAGTCAGCACTGGACATACACATTCCCAGCTCCATGGACTCAAGGCTTAACAAGATGGAAGGTCCTAGTGCTGGGAGAATCTCAGAAGCACATTGGACTGAATGGAGGAGGGTTGTGGGAGCTGCGTTTTGAAGGATGAATAGGAGTTCAATAGGTGGAGAGAACATAAGCAAAGGGAAAGGCAGTGGACATGATTAAGTACGTTAAGGAGGAGGGTCAAGTGAATCCCAAGCTTAAGACAAAGGGGGCCATGAGGACTGGAAGGTCTAAGATGAAGAGTTCACACAGCACCCCAGATGTCAGGTCGGGGGGTAGCGAGCTGGGGGGCCGGATCTGACGCCCGTGTGTCCTCCCAGGTGTGGTCTTCCCTTACCACCCCCGTGGAGGCCGCTACAAGCTGACCTTCATGGAGGCGCAGCGCGCATGCGCTGAGCAGGACGGCATCCTGGCATCGGCCGAGCAGCTGCACGCGGCCTGGCGCGACGGCCTGGACTGGTGCAACGCGGGCTGGCTGCGCGACGGCTCGGTGCAGTACCCGGTGAGCCAGCCCCGGGAGCCCTGCGGCGGCCTGGGCGGGGCCGG